GAGTTGAAGCAAGTTAGAAATTGTCGTCCAAGTTTTCATAGTCCTTTGGGAATGTATGGTGGAATTATGTACAGTGGGGCATCTATTATAATTGGTGGAAGAGAACCATGGACGTTTAGCCATGGTGGTGCTGACCATACAAGACTAAAACCAGCCAAAGATTGTACTCCTATTGAGTATCCCAAACCAGATGGAAAGATTATGTTTGATCTTTTATCTTCTGTGGCATTAACTGGGACAAATCACGAAAGTGACCAACCTGCCCATTTAACTTTAAAAGATGATACTGTACCTGTTAAACAAAATCTTAGTGTGTATGATGGACCTGAAGGCAGATTTTGCCCAGCAGGTATTTTTTTTATTTATTACAATATAAATTTGAATTATTTCCATTTATTTTATTTAGGTGTTTATGAATTTGTACCGATGGAAACCGGAGATGGACAACGATTACAAATCAACGCACAAAATTGTATCCATTGTAAAACGTGTGATATTAAGGATCCGAGTCAAAATATTAATTGGGTAGTACCTGAAGGAGGTGGAGGTCCAGCTTATAATGGAATGTAGATGTTTTTGAAAAGACTTTTTTCTATGGCAAAAGTAAAATGCGCGCCTTCTTAAAAACTGATTGGTTTATTTAGAGGGATGTTAGATTATTTTATAAACTTTTATTGATTTTACGATAAAATGAGATGTAAATATTTTTATATTAAAATAAAATGAATTTTATTTTGGATTTTTTTACATTAAAATCATGGATTATCTAAAAAAACCTTTGAATTTTATAATGTGAGCTCTTTAAGAAGTTTGTAGTTGAGTTTGTACACTGGGCTCTTTAAGCTACAATATAACATACCTATATCATAATTCTTAAAAATACAGAAGATATCATTTTTTGAAAATTTCGTTTTACTTTGGATATGTAAATTTGACAATTGTTCTCTAATAACTTTTTCCTGGAAATTTCGTTAATATTCTCATATAGTTTTTATATCTTATCATAAACTAGACACTTTAAGCTACAATTTAAGATTCATATCATATCATGATTCTTAAAAATACAGAAGATATGATTTCTTGAAAATTCGTATTATTTTGGGTTTTATAAATTTGGCTACTTGTTTACCAATATTTTCCTGGAAATTTCAATTATATTATCATATAGTTTTTATATCTTATCATAAACTAGACACTTTAAGCTACAATTTAAGATTCATATCATATCATCATTCTTAAAAATACACTCAATATGATTTCTTAAAATTTCGTATTGGGCTTTATATATTTGGTTATTTCTTCAACAATATTTTCCTGGAAATTTCAATTATATTATCACATTGTTTTTATATCATGTCACAAACTAGACTCTTTAAGCTACAATGTAACATACATATCATATCATGATTCCTGAAAATACAAAAAATATGATTTTTGGAAAATTTCGTTTACTTTGGATTTATAAATTTAACAATTGTTCTCTAATAACTTTTTCCTGGAAATTTCGTTAATATGTATTATCATATAGTTTTTATATCATATCATAAACTAGACACTTTAAGCTACAATTTAAGATTCATGTCATATCATGATTCTTAAAAATACAGAAGATATGATTTCTTGAAAATTCGTATTATTTTGGGTTTTTTAAATTTGGCTATTTTTTTAATAATATTTTCTTGGAAATTTCAATTATATCATCATATAGTTTTTATATCATGTCATAAACTAGACTCTTTAAGCTACCATTTAACATACATATCATATCATGAATCTTAAGAATACAGAAGATATGATTTTTTGAAAATTTAGTTTTACTTTGGATTTGTAAAATTGACAATTTTATTGTTCTTTAGTAACTTTTTCCTGGAAATTTCGTTAATATTATCATATAGTTTTTATATTATATCATAAACTAGACACTTTAAGCTACAATGTAAGATTCATGTCATATCATGATTCTTAAAAATACAGAAGATATGATTTCTTGAAAATACGTATTATTTTGGGTTTTATAAATTTGGCTACTTGTTTAACAATATTTTCCTGGAAATTTCAATTATATTATCATATAGTTTTTATATCTTATCATAAACTAGACTCTTTAAGCTACAATTTAACATACCTATCATATCATGATTCTTAAAAATACAGAAAATATTATTTTTTGAAAATTTCGTTTTACTTTGGATTTGTAAAATTGACACTTGTTTTTTAATAACTTTTTCCTAGAAATTTCGTTAATATTATCATATAGTTTTTATATCATATCATAAACTAGACACTTTAAGCTACAATTTAAGATTCATGTCATATCATGATTCTTAAAAATGCAGAAGATATGATTTCGTGAAAATTCGTATTATTTTGAGTTTTATAAATTTGGTTATTTCTTTAACAATATTTTTCTGGAAATTTTAATTATATTATCATATAGTTTCTATATCATGTCATAAACTAGACTCTTTAAGCTACAATATAACATACATATCACATCATGATTCTTAAAAATACCGAAGATATGATTTTTTGAAAATTTCGTTTTATCTTGGATTTGTAAAATTGACAATTGTCCTTTAATAACTTTTTCCTGGAAATTTCGTGAATATTATCATATAGTTTTTATATCATATCATAAACTAAACACTTTAAGCTACAATTTAAGATTCATGTCATATCATGATTCTTAAAAATGCAGAAGATATGATTTCTTGAAAATTCGTATTATTTTGAGTTTTATAAGTTTGGCTATTTCTTTAACAATATTTTCCTGGAAAATTCAATTATCTTATCATATAGTATTTATGTCATGTCATAAACTAGACTCTTTAAGCTACAATTTAAGATTCATGTCATATCATGATTCTTAAAAATGCAGGAGATATGATTTCTTGAAAATTCGTATTATTTTGAGTTTTATAAATTTGGCTATTTCTTTAACAATATTTTCCTGGAAATTTCAATTATGTTATCATATAGTTTTTATATCATGTCATAAACTAGACTCTTTCAGCTACAATTTAACATACTTATCATATCATTATTCTTAAAAATACAGAAGATATGATTTTTTGAAAATTTCGTTTTACTTTGGATTTGTAAAATTGACAATTGTTCTTTAATAACTTTTTCCTCTAAATTTCGTTAATATTATCATATAGTTTTTATATCATATCATAAACTAAACACTTTAAACTACAATTTAAAATTCATGTCATATCATGATTCTTAAAAATACAGAAGATATGATTTCTTGAAAATTCGTATTATTTTGGGTTTTATAAATTTAGCTATTTCTTTAAAAATATTTTCCTGGAAATTTTAATCATATTATCATATAGTTTTTATATCATGTCATAAACTAGACTTTCTAAGCTACAATTTTACATACATATCATATCATGATTCTTAAAAATACAAAAGATATGTTTTTTTGAAAATTTCGTTTTATTTTGGATTTGTAAATTTGACAATTGCTCTTTAATAACTTTTTCCTGGAAATTTCGTTAATATCATCATATAGTTTTTATATCATATTATAAACTAGACACTTTAAGCTACAATTTAAGATTCATGTCATATCATGATTCTTAAAAATGCAGAAGATATGATTTCTTGAAAATTCGTATTATTTTGAGTTTTATAAATTTGGCTATTTCTTTAACAATATTTTCCTGGAAAATTCAATTATATTATCATATAGTATTTATGTCATGTCATAAACTAGACTCTTTAAGCTACAATTTAACATACATATCATATCATGATTCTTAAGAATACAGAAGATATGATTTTTTGAAAATTTCGTTTTACCTTGGATTTGTAAAATTGACAATTGTCCTTTAATAACTTTTTCCTGGAAATTTCGTTAATATTATCATATAGTTTTTATATCATATCATAAACTAGACACTTTAACCTACAATTTAAGATTCATGTCATATCATGATTCTTAAAAATACAAAAGATATGACTTGAAATTTCGTATTTTTTTGAGTTTTATAAATTTGGCTATTTCCTTAACAATATTTTCCTGGAAATTTCAATTATGTTATCATATAGTTTTTACATCATGTCATAAACTAGACTCTTTAAGCAACAATTTAACATAGATATTATATCATGATTCTTAAAAATCAATTAATCTAGCTTTGTACGCTTCAGGTTCTCCATTGGTATTCCTCTTAATTCGAATAACCCATCTATCAGACTTTTATTTTTTCTGGTTTTGTTACTAATTTCCAAGTTTTATTTCTGTTTAATAAATTTAATTCTTCCTCAATTGCTTTAATCCATTCTTATGAATCTTCTCTCTTCAATATTTCATTATAGTTTTTGGGCAGATCATTTAACGTTTCCATGTGTAGTGTAAGGTAAACTTCTTTGTCTGTGACTTTTTCGGGCTTGGTTTTCGTCTTCTTTTCCTTCAATTTCATCATTTCCTCTATTTCATTTTGCTCTGTGGTTTCAGATTGTTCCCATACACAAAGTTCTACGGTTTTCATATTTAAATGGTTAGTATTTTTATGCTCATCAAACACAACGCTTTCTCCATAAAGTAATTTCTTATTTATTGGATCCTAAAGTCGATAACCATTATCAGTACATCCGATCATTAAAGTAGTTGTTTTGGCTTTAAATTATAGGCACACATCAGAAAACATTTATTTTTCTGAATTTTTGGATTCTTATTCCCTTCCAGGATTCCAGTCCAGTGCCTTCCAGTTCAATACTTCACTGGTAACATTTACACCTCGTCCACTAACTACGGAAAACTATTTATCTAACTGTTCTTCAACTTCTAGATCTTTTCCATCACGGTTTTTCTTTCGATTTTTGTCTCTTTGCTCCGTCCATTTTTCACACAGGTCGAATGATGTCATTACACATTGTCCCGTTTACGCGGAAAGCTGTCCCAATTAAACAAATAAAATATACATTAATTAGATGATTTGGATTTTTAATTTGTCCCAAATAAGCGGGTATTAATTAAAAGCAAATTTCTTCTATTTTGTGTTTTATTTTAGATATTTTTATTAATAAAAGTAATGATTAACATGAATAATGTGATTTACAAACTATATATTGACTCTATTACAATAAAACTATATTCTTTGTTAAATATTGATAAGAACATCACAGGTATTAAAGACTTTTCCTCAAAATACATTATATTGTTTATAGGCTTATAAATAAAATAGGTAAAAAAAAATAACAAAAACATAATTCCTCTAAAATAATCACTTTTTTGTTCAATTTAATAATCATTCCGAATGCGTATCTAATCCCAAATTTGAATGAACATTATCTGGCAAGAAGTTTTTCTCGTCAGGCAATAAACAAATGACTCCTACAGCCATTAGAAAATGCCACAAGCTGTGCAAATACTTGTAATTACTTTGCGTTTGGAACAATGCGTAAACAAGTAAAGCAACGATTACAATAGTGCTGCCAATTGGAAGATAAATCTTCAAATATCGCTTTTTGGGAAACAGGCACTTGTTCTTCTTGCTCAAATAATACCAATTTCCAATTAAAATACCCACCCCGATAGCGCTGGGTATAACAAATACCCACAACGAGGTTTTATCAAAGGTAGTTCCAAAAGACAGGACGATACAACCCGCCATATGAGCGATCGAAACGTATGGTTGGGGTAGATATGCCATAGCAATAAGAGTTACCCAGATGGAAAGTAAACCGGAGAAGAAGTCGGAGAATTGAAGCACTCCTAAACGTACGATACAGAAACTTATTATCCTTTCACCGGCGTCGCAAGCGTGGTATAGGCTTGAAAAGAAGAAAGTTGAAAAATAGACGATTGCTTCCACGTAGTATTGGCGTTTATAGGCGATATATGCGGCTGGAATAAAAGCTACGTTACTTATCACTAAAAGTGTCATTTCTAGGACTAGCATTCCATATGGAGTTGCGCGTGAACCATCGCTACAATCATATCCTAAAAAAAATTGATTACTAAATTAATAATAAATGGACCGCGTTATACATCACTTTACTAAGCGATATTTTATCGTTTTTAGAGATTTTCATGCTGTCTGAGAGGTAAAGGTGTAACTTATCCTTTAACTATTTATTTCTAAATCATTACAAACGACGTTTAGGGATAAAATCAAGACATTAGATAGAGTAGATACCGTATATCAATTAAACTGCACTGACTGCAATAAAATTTACATAGGGGAATCTAAACAACATCTCAAAAAACGTATACAACAACATAAATACGATACTAAACAAATAAAAGCGCAAAACAAACCGGCTTTATGCCAACATTCGGTAACTTTAACTCACAAATTTGATTTTGAAAATCCCAAAATATTAACAACAAATAAAAACACATTAATAAGAAAAAACTTGAAATCAATTTTCATAACAAAAAACATTAATAATGCAGTTAACTTTAAAACTGATGTAGGACGAATAGGGGCGCATTATGCAGATATTTTAAATAAATTGGTTATATAATAGAGTGAGGGAGATGGAACTGGTTTCCAACAAAGAATAAAATTGAAATTTGACCTTGTTGAGAAATTTTCAAAAAGACGTGATGTTTAGACGTGATGTTTAAACGCGATGAATGATAAAAGTGAAAAAAGTTTTTGGTAAGAATCATATTCTACATATTGTGGTTTATGTGTAATAAATGTTTTTTATTGTAAAATAATTGCAGTTACGTAAATCATTGAAGTGTTGTTTCTTTAGATGGCAAAAATTATTAAACCTGATGATGGGAATAGTCCCGAAACGTCGTTTGTAATGATTAGAAATAAATAGTTAAAGGGGGGAATTGTGTAATGATTTTATAACAAAATATAATTTTAATATTATATTCGTAATCTTCATAAAATAACCTTTAAAGTGAGTCCAAACTTGACGCATTTATATCAAAAAAACAAAAAGGTTGAACTTTCAACTTTTAATTTTGACATATTTGTCAACTTCATAAAAAATCCTTTCAAATGAGTCCAAACTCGACATATTTAACTTTAATATTAATGAAAATACAATCACTTCCGATTTGAAACGTCAGCGTCAATTTTGACATATTTGTCATCTTCATTAAAAAACCTTTAAAATGAGTCCAAACAAGACGCACTTATTTCAAAAAACAAAAAAGTTAGAATAAAAAACATTAAACCCTAAGTTAGCAACAATGAAGATAGCAATTTAATTTTTAAATATTAATACCAACCTTAATTTTCGATTTTTTTTTATTATATTTTTGCTTTTGTGACAAATATTAAGACATTTTATAAAAATTAAGAATATGTCAAAATGACATTGACATTTCAAACCGGAAGTTGCTTATATCTCGAGTAATATTGGAATTAAACGTATCATGTTTGGACTCATTTTAAAGGATTTTTCACGACGATTACAAATATGTCAAAATTGACGATCACATTCTTAACCGGAGGTTGACCATAACTTCATTAATATTGAAGATAAATATGTCGTGTTTGTACTCATTTTACAGGATTTTTAATGAAGATTAATACACTCCAATAATATATAACCAATCAGAGTAACGATCGTTTAAAATTTTGACCAATAACGTGATTTTTTAAACGTATCATATTTATATTATTTAGTGGATAAAAGTTACCTAGGTTTTTCAACTGAATAAATCACATGTGATATTTTATAACCGATAAAAACGCGACTACCATATACAGGGTGTCAGATAAAAAACGCCCCAAGCTGTAACTCTGTCATTTACATTCCATGAATACTGATTTCTTAATTTTTCTAGTCATCACGGTTTTTGAGTTATAAAGAGCTGAGTATTTTAGAAGTGGAGTATTCAGTATTTGAGTTGTGTTTATAACTCAAAAACCGTTATGACTAGAAAAATTCGGTGTGCACCATTGGATTCCACGTAAAAAAATCTGTTAGAACCCGTTTTTACTTTTTTACTAAGTTTCCGGATAGCCGAGAAACAGGAAGTGTCTGAAAATCGTAAATTTCAAACACTCCCTGTATATCAAAAACGAAGAGGGCTATGAAAATTTGGTTTGGGCCATTGTAAGTTTCACAAAAAAGTAGCTCAGGTTCGCGAAAGCCGCAACTTTCTATCTTCCATAATAACTGAGATACCCTACGAACACATCGAAATTTGGACACCTGTACAATACATTAACATTAATTGTAATTTTAGCAGAGAAAAACAATTAAAACATTTTCCGAACATTGTCTTAATCACTTCTGTAATACTGTAGTGCGCCAAGGAAAAAAATAACGTGCAAAACTGATAACAGCCATTAAATGATATTTCAATGCCTGAAGCAGTTGTAAATGATTATTTTTTCCCATGGCACATTACAGTATAACTCAAGTGACTTTAAGAGAATGTTCGGAAACTATTTTAATGTTTTTCTCTATTACAATTACAATTAATGTTGATTGGATTGATTGTATTGTACATTAATTGATTCAGAAAAAAAATCTGTATCCAATAACGTGAAGAAAAACATACCGAGTAATTTGAAAATCAAAAGTTGATAATCGGTTGAAATTGAAGATGGCGTTCGAAAAAGTTTATTTGTAGCATGAATTCATTAAACCTTTTCATTTGATACCTCGCTCATGAAAATCGGAATGTAAATGACAGAGTTACAGATTGGGGCGTTTTTTATCTGACACCTGTATATACTTTTGTTTACCTGTCACATTTTTGACAAGTGTAATTAAGTCAAAAATAGTTAATAAATAATGAAAAATTATCAATAAATTGTGCAATCGTCGTGTATTAATCTCTCTAAAATACGCTCGAGCTTAATTTTAAATCAGAATAATTTTATTTTTAATTCACTCAAGTTTTGTTACCCTTTGGAAATAACTGTCAATCAAAATCAAAAGATGCAACATGCTTTTGATTTCGAGTTATTTCGATGGTAACAAAACGTTCGTGTAAAAATAAAATTATCCGAATAAAAGTCAAGCTCTTGTGTATTTACCCCCGATTACAAATTATGTCAAAATTGAGGTTGACATTTTAAACCTGAAGTTAGTTATCATCAGTGCACGGAACTTTTGTAACAAAACGATACGAGTTCCCCCGTCCACTCGTTCTCAGCGGCGTCCGCTGAGTAATTCTTGATTAAAAGAACAGCATACTGTTCAGTGGAAAATTAAAATTTCAAGTTAGAAAAAAATTGTGTTAACAAAAATTGTTCCTGAAACAATTCTAAACAAACTTTGTCAACAATTTTTTTTGATTTAATCAATAATTAAGGAGATAACCTCAAAATAATAATTTTTCCGTTTTCATACATAATTATACTTAGATGCTTAATTAATAGAGATGTAAAAATTTTTTATTAAGATAATTGATTCAAAATCGAAATTGAAACAAATTTTATTTAAAACATTTTTTGATAAAAACAATAATTATTGAGATAATTAATTTTGATAGCATACTATTCAGAGGGAAATTAAAATTTCAAGTTAGCAAAAAATTGTATTAACAAACACTGTTCCTGAAGTAATTCTAAACAAATTTTGTTAACAACATTTTTTGATTAAATCAACAATAAGGATATAACCTCAAAAATATTAATTTTTGTAGCATACTATTCAGTGGGAAATTAAAATTTCAAGTTAGAAAAAAATTGTGTTAACAAAAATTGTTCCTGAAACAATTCTAAACAAACTTTGTCAACAATTTTTTTTGATTTAATCAATAATTAAGGAGATAACCTCAAAATAATAATTTTTCCGTTTTTATACATAATTATACTTAGATGCTTAATTAATAGAGATGTAAAAATTTTTTATTAAGATAATTGATTCAAAATCGAAATTGAAACAAATTTTATTTAAAACATTTTTTGATAAAAACAATAATTATTGAGATAATTAATTTTGATAGCATACTATTCAGAGGGAAATTAAAATTTCAAGTTAGCAAAAAATTGTATTAACAAACACTGTTCCTGAAGTAATTCTAAACAAATTTTGTTAACAACATTTTTTGATTAAATCAACAATAAGGATATAACCTCAAAAATATTAATTTTTGTAGCATACTATTCAGTGGGAAATTAAAATTTCAAGTTAGAAAAAAATTGTGTTAACAAAAATTGTTCCTGAAACAATTCTAAACAAACTTTGTCAACAATTTTTTTTGATTTAATCAATAATTAAGGAGATAACCTCAAAATAATAATTTTTCCGTTTTTATACATAATTATACTTAGATGCTTAATTAATAGAGATGTAAAAATTTTTTATTAAGATAATTGATTCAAAATCGAAATTGAAACAAATTTTATTTAAAACATTTTTTGATAAAAACAATAATTATTGAGATAATTAATTTTGATAGCATACTATTCAGAGGGAAATTAAAATTTCAAGTTAGCAAAAAATTTTATTAACAAACACTGTTCCTAAAGTAATTCTAAACAAATACTGTTAATAAAAATTTTTGATTTGATCAATAATTAAGAACATAACCTCAAAAAAAATTTTATATATCTTTTATTGAGAAAATTGTTTTAGAATTTAATTTAGAACAACTTTTGTATGAAATTTTCTGCTGAGAACGAGTGGAGGGGGGAAATCGTATCGTTTTGTTACAAAAGTTCCGTGCCCTAGTTATCATATAATAGAAGTTTTATAACTGAAGCACTTTCTTTTTATTTTTAACGTGTTTTTTTTGGGTTATTTCACATTGATTAAAAAATTGTTAAAAAAGAGCGTTCTTAAATTTTAATCTGTATACTTGTAATACTTTGTTCTTAATTTCATTTTACAACCTTTTAAACTTTAATTTTGTAAATTAGTAACTAATAATCTGACTTCAACTTTGATACGTGATCTTTTTTAACAAAAGAAAAAGAAATATTAAGAAACTTGTTTGTAAAATAGATAAGATGAGAGATGTTAATCTATTTGTGGAGTCTCTGAAGTAAAAAAATTTTGTACAAAGTACAAAATCAAACTCTAGATTGTTTTCTTCAAAAATTTTTACACGAATCGTCATCATTTTATCTCTAGTTTTAGTGATTAAATTTATGCCACGACTTACAGAAACACCTGTATGCCCTCTGTGCTTACAAGCCCCAAACAATTTTCAATAGTTTGAGCCTGTCTATTCTGAGAAGTCTTATATTTTTACAGAGATGGAAACGAAAATCCCGTTTTTCTCAACATTATTCATTTGTCGCTTAGTCAAGTGATGCATAACACGGTCTAAATATTGTCTCCACATTACCTTTATATTTATTAGCACACAAACAAGTAGAAAATACAATTCCCTCTGAAACCATAAAAAGACACTTTCCATTATTGGCACATTCTCCAGGTACACAAGGGTACGAGCTAATATCAAATATAACACCAGTTTTACAACTAGTTTCGGTCTTTTTACAACTACCATCGCAATTACAATCAGAGGTACAATTTGAATTATCCCGTTTCAGCTTAACATGACATGTTTCCCCACAACTTGTACAATCCTCAGTTTTACATTTGTTCTCACACGCTTCTACACAATTTTGATACATTTTTAAACAATCCTCCGAACACGTACATTTTTCACACTCTCCGCAAAACAATTTTAGCGTCACATACCAAACTCCGGAATCCGGATACGGCAACATTGCGGAAATGTTTGTTATCGTACTATTTAAAACTAAAGGAGAATCGGATGTTAAGAACCCATCTACACATTTGTCTGGGTATGTTGGAACTTGAACAAACGAATTTCGTATACACGCAACAACTCGATGCGATGTAGGTTCGGGGGTTCTAATAATTGATCGTCCGCTTTTTGTTATTCTCGGCGCGAAAGCGATTATAAAAGATAACGTTCCGCCTGTATCTACGGCTTCGTCTAAACGAAATCTTAACGTGGTGTAATCTTCGCTTGTTAAATTGACGGAAATTGGTATTGAACCGTCCGGATTTGGATGCAAATCAAATTGGTAAAAAAAAGTTTCAGCTTTTCCACTTCGTACCAAATCGTATTCTTTATAAAGGACGCGATTAGTCGATAATTCGTTACTAAGTAATTTATACATTGGATCGCCAAATAAATCCGATAAATTTTTCGTTTTAAATAATTCGTAATAATTTTCTTGGGCGATATTTGCGTTTGACGTTTCAAAACTTTTTATTTGCATTTTTAATTTTCCTTGTTTTTCTTGGTGGATATTTTTAGATGTAATATTAAACTGGATATACTGCCAAGTATTTTCAATGGTATTTAATCGATAATAAATTGGTTCATTTTTATGCGTTGCTTTTGATATACTAATTAAACCTTGACTATTTAAATTATCGACGTCCGAATAAATTTTGGCCGATAATTCCGTACAATCCGCACAAAACTCTATGTTTGATAAAACCAACACAAGCCGATTATTTCCGTTGGGGATAAAAAACTTGTAAGTTTGTGTTTCATTTTGGCTTAGCCTCATATCCATAGATACTCCAGACGTTCCAACATTAAGCACGAAAGATTTTTTGATAAATAGAGAGGCATCAACGTAAGTCCGACAAAATTGCGATAAACCTAAAATGATGATGAATTAAAATTAAAATTTAATACAGTAGACCCCCGACTTACGAAAGCTCTAACTTACAAGCATTTCGACTTACGAGACGTTTAATATCGAAGGTTATAACTCGACTTATTAAATTCCGCAAATTGACGTTGCACAACAGGTTATTGTGCAAACATGGTTACTCATATACTACACACAATTTTATACAAACTTCAGTTACTTGTGTTGTGTACGCATGGAAACATCCCGTCTGACGAAGCAGCCTGTTTAGCTATAATAATTGCTGTTGCGTCGGAAGATGGTGTTAAAAAATCAAAAAGGTAGCAGAGAGTATGGATGAGAGTGGTTAAAGAAAAGATCACTTTTTAGCCACGCAAATCTTCTCAAAGAACTGAAGTTGATCCCACTACATTTAGTGAGTACTAAAATATATTTTCATAGAAACCAGGGCATATCTAATTACTTTGTTCCACATAAAATGCAACATGTCAATATAATTTGAAATTACAGTAAAACCTCGATATAACGGATTAATAAAACGAGTGTAACACTAAAACTAGAAACCGTTTAGCCGTGCATCTCTAGCTCCGGTCTAATGTTAGTTCTAGTGACAGTGGAAGGTAGCGCTAGTTAGCATAAGATATCACTATGTAGCATATTTGTATTGAACTAAAACCAGAACTAACATTAGACCTAGAACTAGAAACATTCGGATTTAGCCGCACGTCTCTCAAGACGGCTAAACCCGAATGATTCTAGTTCTAGGTCTTATGATAGCTGTAGTGATAGTGCTGGTGCAAAATTAGAGTTAACACTAGACCTAGAACTAGAAAGTTTCGGGTTTAGCCGTCTTAAGAGACGAGGGGCTAAATCCGAATCTTTCTAGATCTAGGTCTTGTGTTAGCTCTAGTGATAGTACTAGTGCAAAGATGTTAGTCTAGGTGGTAGTTCCAGTTTTAATTGTTATTTAGCGTTAGATGTTGGTATATTTTTTTTGAACGAAAAGTAGAACTAACACTAGACCTAGAACTAGAAACATTCGGGTTTAGCAAACACCTTTTTCCAAACAAAACTTTTCCTTTCCGTTTTCCTCCGCAACACTATTGTGGTTAGTGAATCCCCGTTTTTGTGTATATAGTCGACACGTAAGTATAATGAAGATGGTGATGTCGGTATTTTTAGAGTTTTAAAATGACATCTACAACTCTGATGTTGTTTTAGACTAACTAGCGTTCTTATCGCTTTCTTTTATTGTTTGAAAACTTCTTTTAGCACCCCATATTGCTATGCCATACACGGCCATGCTGTGGAAGTATGCGAAATACACATTTTGTGATTCAGCCGATGGTATGTTTTTTACTATTACTTTTAAACAATATAGTGAGGTTGCTAATTTCTTTTTAAGCTGCGATATGTGTTCCGATCAACTCAAAGATTCCGTAAACACCACGCCAAGGAATTTAGTTTTTTGATTTGTAACGTGATCATTGGTTTTCGTATAAAACGTGAGTAACTTGGTTTTAGCTTTATTTAGTTGTAATTTGTTCGAGTTGGACCACTTTTCTGCCTCAACCATTGTTATACTAGTCTTTTTCTGAAGTCTTTCAATATCCTTTTTCACGTACACCGATATTTCACCTTTCCAGTGAGTTTGTTGTTATCGCTGATCCAGATATGGAACTAACAGGTTATAGGCCTTATCTTTCATTCCGTATTTGTTCAATTTCTTAGTATGAATGTCATGATTTACAAGATCAAAAGCCCTGCTAATATCGCAAAAGGCAAGTTGAGTATATTACTGGTGTGAAGTTATCCATAAATCCCAAACATAAACTTAAAACATTAATAGTTCCGTAGCCAATACGATTTTTGTCACCAAATTTCACACACAGGTCACCCTTACCCTTAAAAACAGCTTACAACCCCCATTTGGTAAAAAAAAATTTTCAACCCCCACCCGCGAAAAAGAGAGGTTTTCGCCCTGATGGGCACCTTCGAATTAAACCAAATTCTACCACATAACAGAACACAGTTCTAAGTATTTTTATCAATTTTCGAAACACCGGAACCCCTAATGGTTTTCGAGAAAAAAAATCATTCCTATAAACCGCGGATGGGACTTTAGGGGTGAATTTGACCCCGATGGACACTTGTGAATTTGATGAAACTTTAGAATGATTTGGAGGGTGGGTGTTTTGATGGAGAAAGAAATTGATTATATCAATTGTCTGTATTGCATATAACAAAATTATGTAACGAATCGAGAATACTGTAGTTACTTGATAACGCATTCCACAGTTTTCAACCCTTGCTCATTTAAGTAAATGCCGTCCCTGTGTAGAAATTTGTATTAAATACATAAAAATCGTTACGTATTCCTTTAGGATTTAGGGAAAGAAAGAGGCGGAAGAGGTGAGAATATTGAGAAATGGGAAAAGTTGGCATAGTGATGTTATTAAACAAATTAATATTTAAATTGTTAAACAATTTACATATTTTCGCGCCTGAAATTTGTGAAACACCCTGCTTGTTGCATCTAAAAGAAAAATTCCCTCTTTGATACATTTATTGAAAATGTCTGCTAATTGTTTAAAAACACAAGTTATTACTTCTTTTAAGAGTTTTGTTGATAATCCAAATATATCCATTGTACTCGTATTTTTTCAGGTGTTTTACTATTTGTAGCAGTACCTCTTCCTCTAAATACGTAATATGATGACGAATTGTTGCTAGAGTGTAATTGTCTGCAGTTTACGAATGAGTCATTCAAAAGTTTCTGTCTAAGTTAGAGGACTTTTGCGATTTATTTTCTTATTCTCAGATCTTTGAATAAATCTACCATTTGCTTCCTTCTTACCACATGTACTTCTACTCTATACTTATTTTTCAAATTATTGTACGTATCGTTTAGTCCAAGGTCTTGAGTTACGGATATTATTGTGTTCAAGGTGTCTAACTGCTTTTTCATGTTGTTTAACGTTTCTGTTTCCCATTTTTTACAATTCATGTTTGCCTCTTTTATTATGATTTCAGGAAAAGCTGAATTATAGCAGTGTAGGTAATTAGCGTGGAAATATGTATAACTATTTTGCACATCTGCACTTGCTATGTAAGCCCAGTCATAATCTGCCAACAAGACTTTGAATTTTTCAATATTTGTTATCGTAAAGTTACGACGTTTAATCGTTTTATGTTTTATTTTTCCAGGTACCAAGCTATAAGTCAGTATTTGAGCAAGATGATCTCCAAGGTGAAAATTTACTGTTTCCAATTTAATTTATATTATCATATAAAAAATAATTATGAAAACAAAAGCGGAAAACTCTGTTATTATCGTAAAAGGTAGACATTTGATTTGCGAAATGGAAAATTTACTACTGATTTATATTAAAGACAAAGATATGAGAGAGGAGTCTCAATCTGGTGCATTTATTTGTGAAAAAGCACTGAGAATCTTTAATGACTTAAAAAGTGGAATTGAAAATATAGAAAATATGCGTTTTAATGACTTTACAGCTAGTATGGGTTGGTTTGATCGGTTTAAAACAAGGTATGGCATACACCTTTTTCATACTTCTGGAGATATGAAATTAAAACCTATGTTTGTTTATCACTCTGCCAATCTTAGAGTATTTAAAATAAAAAAAGGTAATAAAGACAGCTTGGGAGTTTACTGGCAATTTAATAAGAAACCTTAGGATTACTGTAAAATTTCTTCCCCCAAACACGACCTCAATTATCCAACTGATGGTTATAGCAAGTAATTTCCAATTTTAAAAAATTGTATACAAAACATATGTTTTCAAAGGTTTTTTTTATATACAATGACTAAATCAAAAAATAAAAAAAGTAAAATCATGAGATGATCTATCCACAAGGGTACTAAGATCGTCATGGAAAAACTTGATTCCTCAAATTATTTATGAAAACAATGCAGAGGTAGATGAAGCTGCAGAAATTGTGATGATAGGTGCATCTCTTGGCTTAAATGTAAAAGTTGATGACATAAATGAGTTACTAAAATCCCATAATGACCTTTCTAAAGAAGATTTAAAAGCTGTATTAAATATGGATGAAGAGGAATCAAATATAGAACCTGAAGATATTTCTAATACTTTGTTATCAATAATCTAAGCTTGGGATTTCCTTAGAGAAGCAGCTGGTAATAATCACCTGGATAAAGAAATGGTGGATAGAGTTTGTAGCAACTATTAAAATAAATATACAAAAACCTAAAACACAAAGTTCTCCTCAACCTTCAAGTTCTATTTTAGAGGATACTATGATAAATTTGTAAATAAGTTTTCTTTTTTTCTTGATAAATACATATATTTTCTTATTTTATTAGTTTATTATGACACCATACTGAAAATCCGTTGCTTTTATCTTTAACTTTTACTATGGTAAGTCGGTGGTCTACTGTAAATTATTATTAAAAATATTTACCCGATTGCGTTATAGCTTCATGATCAGGATCGTTATAAGGATGAAAAGCAGTGGCGTAATAAGATCCAGGTGTTGGAGTGGTGATATTAATGTAATGATACTTTTTGTCAGAACTAAAGTCCAGATACATCAACTTTGAAGTTGTGGCGTTAAAAAATCCTTGCGGTAGCTTGGAATTATCAGGGTTAATGACTGGTATTGATCCGTGTTTCATGTAGAGTATAATTTCATCACTATTACAGCCTGATAAGAATTTGTTTTGAAAAAAAAATTGTAAACAAATAATACAAAGAAATATTTCCTTACCAAAGATTGAAAAACTAGTTTGTTCTGCTTGGAACCGAAACGAGGCAAATACTGTATCACTGGGGACACTAAAATGTATAAGGGATATAAAAGCATACCCCTCATAATCTTCTAAATAATCAGTTCGAACGCTTTTTAATAGGTAAAGTTGATCTTCACTGGCTACTTTTGTTGTTAATGATAATAAAAATAACATAAAATACTTAAAATTCATCTGAAACAGGTTTAAAAGAGGTATTAATGAATTTGGGTAACATTAAAATTGAGGGTTTAATTGAATTAACAACTATACGTACCGTAAATGTAATAGGAGTAAAATTTATTGAATAATTACTGGTATGGCTACATTACTACTTATAGGACTTTCAGAGTCTGCTAAATCAAAGAATCCTCACTGACGGTTTAAGCGTAACTAATAGTGAAACAGATCAAGACATGTTTATGTAGAAAATAAATCGATCTTTACGTTTACAACGTAAGTAAATTCACGTTGAATTATAACATTGTTATATCTTGTCAGCTGGGTGTGTGACAAAAAGTTTGGTTAGAAATTTGATTACAATTGAAACGAATATATCAAAAATGTTATTACTTTATGTTAATCCTTATTTACTTATTTAAAACCCCAATTTTTTAAATTTTATAATGTACAGATTAACTTTACTTAAAATATTAGATATATAAAACCTTTTTGTATGGTTATTCAAATCATACATTTTTATCATTATCAGATATAATTTCCAAGTATTATCAGTATTTGAGATAAAAATGATGAATAATAGATTGATTCTTTCTTATCTCAATACAAATACACGTTTTATTAACAAATTTATATTCCATTTTCATAATTATATATTTTGAAAGCGCCACCTAGTAAATACAACTAAATTCATTTTAACAATTTGTCGGTATTACAGCATACTTTACCAACTTTGCATACAACCATCAACAAAATTCTAACTTTAAAATTGAAACTTTAGGTGTTTAATAGTTCTAGAATGGCGACAAAAAGAAAACCGATTAACTTTACTTAAGATATTATATATATATAAAACATTTTTGTATGGTGATTCAAATCATAAATTTTTATCATTATCAGATATAATTTCCAAGTATTAAGAATAGTAGAGATAAAAATGATGAATAATAGATTGATTTTTCTTATCTCAATAAAAATCTACACTTTAATTAACGAATTTATATTTTATTTTTCATAATAAAATTATATATTTTGAAAGCGCCACCTAGTAAAGACAACTAAATTAATTTTAATAATTTGTCGGTATTGCAGCACACTTTACCGACGTTGCATACAACCATCAACAAAATTCTAACCTTAAAATTAAAGCAAAACTAAAAATTGAAACTTTAGGCGATTAATGGTTCTAGAATGGCGACAAAAAGAAAACCGGAAACGCAAGTTCCAGCCGAAGAAAGTGATCAACTACTTATTCGTCCATTGTAAGTATCATTAAATATCAATAATTAATAAAAAACTTAAAAAATTCAAATGTTGTGTTGACTTGTTTCAGAGGTGCTGGACAAGAAGTAGGAAGATCATGTATTATGATAGAGTTTAAAGGCAAAAAGATTATGGTAAGTTTTTGTTACTTTTCATTTTGTTTTAATTGTTAATTTTTTAATTTACTTAATAGTTAGATTGCGGTATACACCCCGGTCTATCAGGAATGGATGCTCTTCCGTTTGTTGATTTAATTGAAGCAGATGAAATAGATATACTTCTAATATCTCAGTAAGTAGACTTATAATAATTTTTTTTTATTCTAATTGATACATTTTAGTTTTCACTTGGACCATTCTGGCGCATTACCTTGGTTTTTATTAAAAACCAGCTTTAAAGGGCGATGCTTTATGACCCATGCCACTAAAGCTATTTACCGGTGGCTGTTATCTGATTATATTAAAGTTAGGTGAGAATGATTTTCTTGAATATGATAAAAATTTAATGTTGTAACTTTTAGTAATATAGCTACTGAGCAAATGTTATACACAGAATCAGATTTAGAAGCTAGCATGGATAAAATTGAAACAATAAATTTTCACGAAGAAAAAGACGTTTTGGGAGTGAAATTTTGGGCTTATAATGCTGGTCATGTATTAGGAGCGGCTATGTTTATGATAGAAATTGCTGGTGTTAAGGTGATTCTTTATTTAAAATCATTATAAATGGTTTGTGGAAAAATTCTTGAAACAACAAATTTGCTTGAAATGATAAAAATAGCAGTTGCTATGAGNTACGCAAGACTTTGAATTTTTCAATATTTGTTATCGTAAAGTTACGACGTTTAATCGTTTTATGTTTTATTTTTCCAGGTACCAAGCTATAAGTCAGTATTTGAGCAAGATGATCTCCAAGGTGAAAATTTACTGTTTCCAATTTAAGAACTGATAAGAATTTGTCAGTAAAAATATTATCTTATAAAAAATAATTATAAAAACAAAAGCGGAAAACTCTGTAATTATCGTAAAAGGTAGACATTTGATTTGCGAAATGGAAAATTTACTACTGATTTATATTAAAGACAAAGATATGAGAGAGGAGTCTCAATCTGGTGCATTTATTTGTGAAAAAGCACTGAGAATCTTTAATGACTTAAAAAGTGGAATTGAAAATATAGAAAATATGCGTTTTAATGACTTTACAGCTAGTATGGGTTGGTTTGATCGGTTTAAAACAAGGTATGGCATACACCTTTTTCATACTTCTGGAGATATGAAATTAAAACCTATGTTTGTTTATCACTCTGCCAATCTTAGAGTATTTAAAATAAAAAAAGGTAATAAAGACAGCTTGGGAGTTTACTGGCAATTTAATAAGAAACCTTAGGATTACTGTAAAATTTCTTCCCCCAAACACGACCTCAATTATCCAACTGATGGTTATAGCAAGTAATTTCCAATTTTAAAAAATTGTATACAAAACATATGTTTTCAAAGGTTTTTTTTTATACAATGACTAAATCAAAAAATAAAAAAAGTAAAATCATGAGATGATCTATCCATAAGGGTACTAAGATCGTCATGGAAAAACTTGATTCCTCAAATTATTTATGAAAACAATGCAGAGGTAGATGAAGCTGCAGAAATTGTGATGATAGGTGCATCTCTTGGCTTAAATGTAGAAGTTGATGATATAAATGAGTTACTAAAATCCCATGATGACTTTTCTAAAGAAGATTTAAAAGCTGTATTAAATATGGATGAAGAGGAATCAAATATAGAACCTGAAGATATTTCTAATACTTTGTTATCAATAATCTAAGCTTGGGATTTCCTTAGAGAAGCAGCTGGTAATAATCACCTGGATAAAGAAATGGTGGATAGAGTTTGTAGCAACTATTAAAATAAATATACAAAAACCTAAAACACAAAGTTCTCCTCAACCTTCAAGTTCTATTTTAGAGGATACTATGATAAATTTGTAAATAAGTTTTCTTTTTTTCTTGATAAATACATATATTTTCTTATTTTATTAGTTTATTATGACACCATACTGAAAATCCGTTGCTTTTATCTTTAACTTTTACTATGGTAAGTCGGTGGTCTACTGTAAATTATTATTAAAAATATTTACCCGATTGCGTTATAGCTTCATGATCAGGATCGTTATAAGGATGAAAAGCAGTGGCGTAATAAGATCCAGGTGTTGGAGTGGTGATATTAATGTAATGATACTTTTTGTCAGAACTAAAGTCCAGATACATCAACTTTGAAGTTGTGGCGTTAAAAAATCCTTGCGGTAGCTTGGAATTATCAGGGTTAATGACTGGTATTGATCCGTGTTTCATGTAGAGTATAATTTCATCACTATTACAGCCTGATAAGAATTTGTTTTGAAAAAAAAATTGTAAACAAATAATACAAAGAAATATTTCCTTACCAAAGATTGAAAAACTAGTTTGTTCTGCTTGGAACCGAAACGAGGCAAATACTGTATCACTGGGGACACTAAAATGTATAAGGGATATAAAAGCATACCCCTCATAATCTTCTAAATAATCAGTTCGAACGCTTTTTAATAGGTAAAGTTGATCTTCACTGGCTACTTTTGTTGTTAATGATAATAAAAATAACATAAAATACTTAAAATTCATCTGAAACAGGTTTAAAAGAGGTATTAATGAATTTGGGTAACATTAAAATTGAGGGTTTAATTGAATTAACAACTATACGTACCGTAAATGTAATAGGAGTAAAATTTATTGAATAATTACTGGTATGGCTACATTACTACTTATAGGACTTTCAGAGTCTGCTAAATCAAAGAATCCTCACTGACGGTTTAAGCGTAACTAATAGTGAAACAGATCAAGACATGTTTATGTAGAAAATAAATCGATCTTTACGTTTACAACGTAAGTAAATTCACGTTGAATTATAACATTGTTATATCTTGTCAGCTGGGTGTGTGACAAAAAGTTTGGTTAGAAATTTGATTACAATTGAAACGAATATATCAAAAATGTTATTACTTTATGTTAATCCTTATTTACTTATTTAAAACCCCAATTTTTTAAATTTTATAATGTACAGATTAACTTTACTTAAAATATTAGATATATAAAACCTTTTTGTATGGTTATTCAAATCATACATTTTTATCATTATCAGATATAATTTCCAAGTATTATCAGTATTTGAGATAAAAATGATGAATAATAGATTGATTCTTTCTTATCTCAATACAAATACACGTTTTATTAACAAATTTATATTCCATTTTCATAATTATATATTTTGAAAGCGCCACCTAGTAAATACAACTAAATTCATTTTAACAATTTGTCGGTATTGCAGCATACTTTACCAACTTTGCATAGAACCATCAACAAAATTCTAACTTTAAAATTGAAACTTTAGGTGTTTAATAGTTCTAGAATGGCGACAAAAAGAAAACCGATTAACTTTACTTAAGATATTATATATATATAAAACATTTTTGTATGGTGATTCAAATCATAAATTTTTATCATTATCAGATATAATTTCCAAGTATTAAGAATAGTAGAGATAAAAATGATGAATAATAGATTGATTTTTCTTATCTCAATAAAAATCTACACTTTAATTAACGAATTTATATTTTATTTTTCATAATAAAATTATATATTTTGAAAGCGCCACCTAGTAAAGACAACTAAATTAATTTTAATAATTTGTCGGTATTGCAGCACACTTTACCGACTTTGCATACAACCATCAACAAAATTCTAACCTTAAAATTAAAGCAAAGTTAAAAATTGAAACTTTAGACGATTAATGGTTCTAGAATGGCGACAAAAAGAAAACCGGAAACGCAAGTTCCAGCCGAAGAAAGTGATCAACTACTTATTCGTCCATTGTAAGTATCATTAAATATCAATAATTAATAAAAAACTTAAAAAATTCAAATGTTGTGTTGACTTGTTTCAGAGGTGCTGGACAAGAAGTAGGAAGATCATGTATTATGATAGAGTTTAAAGGCAAAAAGATTATGGTAAGTTTTTGTTACTTTTCATTTTGTTTTAATTGTTAATTTTTTAATTTACTTAATAGTTAGATTGCGGTATACACCCCGGTCTATCAGGAATGGATGCTCTTCCGTTTGTTGATTTAATTGAAGCAGATGAAATAGATATACTTCTAATATCTCAGTAAGTAGACTTATAATAATTTTTTTTTATTCTAATTGATACATTTTAGTTTTCACTTGGACCATTCTGGTGCATTACCTTGGTTTTTATTAAAAACCAGCTTTAAAGGGCGATGCTTTATGACCCATGCCACTAAAGCTATTTACCGGTGGCTGTTATCTGATTATATTAAAGTTAGGTGAGAATGATTTTCTTGAATATGATAAAAATTTAATGTTGTAACTTTTAGTAATATAGCTACTGAGCAAATGTTATACACAGAATCAGATTTAGAAGCTAGCATGGATAAAATTGAAACAATAAATTTTCATGAAGAAAAAGACGTTTTGGGAGTGAAATTTTGGGCTTATAATGCTGGTCATGTATTAGGAGCGGCTATGTTTATGATAGAAATTGCTGGTGTTAAGGTGATTCTTTATTTAAAATCATTATAAATGGTTTGTGGAAAAATTCTTGAAACAACAAATTTGCTTGAAATGATAAAAATAGCAGTTGCTATGAGTAACTATGATGAAATGATAATTAATCATTTTAAACAATTTCCTTAGTGTCAAAAACTGATTTAAAGCTTGTTGGAAATGAGTTGGGTTAACATTATTGGAAATTCAGATAATGATATTTGAGGCTTTTCCTATATAAGACCAAAATCTTTAACTTAGTCACAATAATTAACAAATGAGCTACATTATTTATAATTGAAAGAATAGCAAAGGCTGAATGCCAAACTTGTGTCATTGAATTCCTCAAATATGTTTTAACAATTTTTAACCTCTAAAAACTTCTTTCTGCAGACGCATCTACCGCTTTCAATTAAATTTTTGTCTATTATATATTTTAGCACCCAGATAATGTCGTTTCCTTCATATACATGGATAACCATATTGAGCTTTTCATACAATTCATGTCCATCTATATCAGATGATTCTCCTACCGTTAAAGATATTTACAAGTCACTACAATGCTTCAAACGTTAATAATCACTAATTTCCTTTAATCTTTTTATGTTAGACATGAAACTCTCATGATGTTTCAGTAATATTTCCATTATTAGATTTGATTCAGTGCCTCAAATCTAGGTGGGCAGCTTGCGCGTACATTATTGACAGTAAAATAAAAATAGTTTATTTTGAAAATCGCATCCAATTCAAAAACCTCATTTTCCCTTTCATAATCAAATTCTTTTTTTTTAATCCTCCTTCTCGCTTCGGAAGTTTTTGAACCATTTTTTCAAGTGGGTTTTGCAATAATGACTTTACATGTGTTTTTAAAATATCCCAACACTCATTTGAGTCGACAGGTAGAATGTACAGCCTTTGTAGGCAGAGAAACCAAAGAAAGATTTTGCTTGATTACAAGACGATACTGCGTCTCCTAGGATGAGATTCCATAAGGTACAAAATAAGCAACGAGATTAATTATTGGCTTCATTATCATATTCTTGGC